ATTGAACTTTGAATGACCTTACACAGCCTTCTTATTCAAGTTATTGAATTCGTTTATACGTAAACTGTATGTCGAAATGAAAAAAAAAGCGTAACATGAGAATGACCTTAAAGTCTCGAAAACGAATGGATTTGGTGCAAAATTATGTGGATCAAAGAATGTTCAGTTTAAATATAGCGCGAAAGACTTTTTTGAATAAAAACGAAAGAAAATAAAATTGGTTACCATGTACAGTGATATTAGTATAAATTAATGGATTAATACAGTTTCAATTTGATTTACATTATTTTTAAGATTCTTTATCAAGCATTAAGATACGTGGCTTATCACTGTAATCGTTGTCCAGTAGTTTTTTTTTAAAAGAATTGTTAGCGATAACGTATAATCCTGCTTCAGTATTTCATTCACAATAAGACAAGAGGTGTGATAAACTATAGACACGATAAAATACTGAAGTCACAGTTAAATTTTCTTGACGTATTTTTAGACAATAGTTCGCTCACCAAGAAGGATACTTATCGTGAAGTTTGAACTTTTAGTAATGTCTATTTATTTCAAAAGAAAGGAATGAAATAAATGAAATACATTAATTTTCTTTTATAATGCATTATCATTTTTTATTAATGTTAAATTCATATTGATATATAAAGGACCACACAAAAATTAAAATATTTCTTATCTGTGAAGATTTGTGTTTTAGTTTTGTATTTCAAAGACTATTTTACCACTATTTCTTTCTATTAACTGTTTATTGAAGTTTAATTACATTTAAATTACAATTGAGCACTGTACGAGTATGATTCATACATATAAACTCATTTAAAATTGATTTGAACAGGCTCAATTTATCAAATATAACCTCTTTTTTACTATTACTTTATCGGGATTTTTGTTTCTAATATCACCTCCCAGTATTTCTTTATAAATAAAAAAATAATTTCTTAATTATTAATTTAACGATTAGAATTTTATTGTATTACGATTAAGATTGAACTGACGCTGTTATAAAAACTCTAATCTCAAATAATCCGGTAAAACAGAAATTAAATAGAAATCTATTATTTCAGTGAATGGTTTCGCTGAAAAAACAAAAAATAGAAAACAGACTAACTTGAGTTTTATTGTAGTTTTCATTTCAATGTGTGCTCTATTCAGTTGCATCAACCGTAAATGCGTAAAATCCACAGTCTAATAATCACAATGCACGTGATAAACACATTTACGTGTAATTCATGTAATACTGCGTAAACGCAAGCGAAAGTGCTGAGATAAGTCGACGCAAAAATTACTAAGCCGTTGGGTGAAGGGTTAACACCCACGAGGGCAGCTACAAAATACGGATCTCCCCGTATATCGCGTTCCTCGGAACGATCCGAGCGAAGATATAGATGAGAATTTCGAACGAAAAACGGGCGAGCCTCGATACAGACACCCAGTAGGTACTATCTTCAGCGGGCGTCACGTAACAGGTTTTGAATTTCGTCCCGGTACACATGTAGACATTCAGCCACCCTCGGGTGTACCTGTAAACGCGCGCGTCCACTACGTCCGTGCCCTAGAAAGAGAGAGGCTCACAGTCAGTCAGTAAAAAGAGTAGCGAGAGTGAGTGAGTGAGAAAGAAAGAGAGAGAGAGAGAGAGAGTCGGCCGACCGGCCAACCGACCAACACGACACGACACAATGGCGGAGAGTCTTTCGGAGTAGGCAGGCAGGCAGGCGGGCAGGCCAAGCAACGTGAGTCAGCCTTGTGGTAGGGAGTAGCGAGGTTAGTGCATTCCCCCTTAGTCCTTTTACCCACACTACGTTGGGATCACGAGAGCGCGCCGCCGTTGTTGTTTTCCTCCGAGAAACCCGGGCCACGGGGCGAATAACTCGTACTCTCTGAGGCTCACCAGTGTCAGTGCAGCGATCGCGTCGAAGGTGGTAGGACGCGCCAAAGAAACGTGGGTAACATCTCTGTGTGTTTCTCTCTCTTACTCATCCTCTCCTCCGCTCCACCCCTACACACACCGTTGTCTACTTTTCCCTCCGTTCTTCCCCTTTGTTTACCGTCTCGCTCGTTCGCTCGAACGCGAGATAAGAACGCGTGATGCACACAGTGCACGTTCGATCCTTCTCCCACGTTCAACTTAGCGCCTAGCACTCTCTTCATCTTTCCTTTCCTTCCGTTTCGTTTCCTCGTCGTCGTCCGTCGTCGTCGTCGTTTTTCAATATATGCAGAGACTTGCGAGACGCGATCGGGGTAGCAGAGAAACACATACTCCGGTGCTTGCTTGTTCCCTCCTCCTCGTCGACACACCGTGTGCCTGCCCGGCTCGACGTGGTGCGTGATTTCCAATCGATACGCGAGGAGGATCGACCTTGTCTCACCTCACCTCACCTCGAAACTTTCCTATCGTGTTCTCGCCTCACGTCCGTTTGTTTCTTTTCGCGAGTGCGTCTCCGACGTGCGTGAGCCTTCCATCGTCGTGTTGTGTGTCGCCGCTGCGCGTCTGTATAATGTGTATGTGTGTGTGTGTGGGTTCATGTGTGCGCGCGCCCGTCCGTGCTTCTCCGACTGTAATTCTCCTGTCGGTGGCGGCGAAGGCGGTGGTGGTGGTGGTGGTGGCGGCGGTGGTGGCGGTGGCGGCAACTAAGTGCCTGTTGACTACTCGTTAGTCGCCCCTGGAGTCTTCGTCGGTACTGCCACGGAAGTGAGAGCCGGCCTCAAAGCGCGAACGTTTTTCTTGCCCGCTTTGAAGGAAGAAACGCGCGGCGGTGATTTCTTGAATAGGTTATGTCGCGCGTGCCGATCATCTCCGCTCGCGCTACTCGTTACGCAGTGGCACACACGTGAATCGCGACGGAACCGTGTGTGTATATATATATGTGTGTGTATGCTGGTGTGTGTTGCGTGGTGTATACACGCGGCCGTGCGCGGCTGGTTTTTTTCTTCTTCTTAAAAGATGACTCCTGTCAGGCCTGAAGGTCGAGGTGATATTCGACACGCGAGATTTCGACGCCTCGTTTCTTTGTGATTCTCCACTCTGTAAACGGGATTGAATCGTTGTTCTCGCGAGTGAGTGCCGTGGAACTGTGAATACCCCGGCGGTGCACACGGCTGGCGAGCGACGGTATATCGATTCTGTTTGCGCAATTATCGGCCAGTTTCCTAAACCGCTAACGCACGAGGTTCGTTGGCTTCTTTACTCTTGCGCGGTGTACGTACATGCCCGTTCAGGAACATTCTCCCGCGTATACCGTCACGTTAATGGGGCCTAATCACTGAGAAATCTAGTACTATAACCAGAAGAATTTTTCGTTGCTCCGACACATCGATACATTGTTCAATTTAAGAGTTCTATCAGTTTGCTGTTTTACAAACCATTAACACTGTGTAAAAATCTGGATACAATTTTTTGCCGAACTAAAGAAAAGTGAGTTGTAGTGGACAAAAATTTATTCAAGTAGGTACTAGGATTTCGTGTACTTTTATTCCATTTTATTGCAACCGAATTGAACCTGCCTGTTTCAAGTGTATGGAAACTTGCGATTATACGATATACTGAATTTCATGTAGTTTAATATATTTTGAATCTGTCGTTACTAAAGTAACTAGCAGCAGTAGGTTAATTTATGTTTTCTTCAATGCTTTGACATGAATTGTTGCAGACGGAAAAAATTATTTCATGACACGTGTTTCGGATGAAAATATCTCTTAATTCTATGAAATACGTGCATTGTTAACTGTATTGAAAACTTGAAAATTTGTATAAAACATTTGCATATTTTTCGTAGATATTAGAATATTACTTTTTTAAAACGGGAGTTCCGTATTCACGTGTAAGAAAAAAATTTTAAACGAGTAATTTACGCGGAATGCAATCAACAGTTGTTTCATAAGCTTCCCGAGTATTTTGTAACAGCATGCGTAAAATCTGATTATACAAATTAAATGCTTTCCATCGCGTGTCCTTGTTCGACGGTGTCAACCCAGCTATTGAGAATTCGAATATTGAAATTTTATCCTTGTTATATATACACATAAACATATAATTTACATATATTTTGTAGTAGATGTCCATTCGGGAGTAATTTTATTAATACATTCTAACGATCAAACGTGATTCAAATTTTTGTACTTAAACAGTGAACCTGTCGTTTGGTCATTAATCATGTCGGTTTTCTTAGACGTATTTGTATGAATGTACCTGGTGTTTCTGTAATTAGAACGGAATCGATAATTACTTTAGTAATTATATTTATGACTTCATGCTCGGACGAAAATTAGATTTCGAACTCGACCAAATGATTAAATTCCTGTTTCGAGTAAAGAAAAGATACTTGAGTACTTGATTTTTGTTAAGTGAATCCTTTAGGTTGGATTATTACCAAAACAGTAGAATACAAAAAGTACTTTCAGAAATCACTATTTTCCAGTAATTAAAAATTTTGTTATTCAAGTTTATACACTATTCACGAGTACTCTAGTTTTCAAATTACTCACGAATGCTTGAATATTAAGTTATGAATGCTAAAATTTTCACAGTACCTGCAAGTACTCAAACTTTCGATACAATTGCAAGCACATCAATTTTGCAAGGCACTCGAAAGTACTCGGATATACAAAATCCATCAAATGATCCCAATGCATGGAATACCCATAGAATTGCTCGACGAGGCAAGCCAGTAAATTTCTATAGAAAAATTGAGTTCGAAATCTGTTTTTCGCGCGTCTGCGTTCGCCGTATGGCGGGTATATACTTCGCGCAACCGAAAAGGATTAAGGCTGTGTTAATGGAGGACCTGCCATTGACAGCCTTAATCGACTGTATAACACGGGAAGCGAAGCAGCCCCGCCGCGAGCGCAAAAGGGACAGAAAGGGAATCCCGTTAAGAGCGACGTGCAATAAACGAGACAAGTTGCTCGTGAAAATCGTATTCTCGCCCTGAAACACAACCGAACTACTACCACTCTCCATCTGGTTGGTAACCGTTCCGAAACACGTTCTTGTTGTCCAGGACATTGACTAGAGGTACAAGGCAATTAAGAAAGAAGAGAAGAGTGTCCGCCTAAGAGGAGAATTTTCGGAGGAGGATGCTCGGCAGTTGGGGCTGGGAAGAAGAATTGGAGTTGGGAGAGGGAACAGCAGCAACCCTGTCGCAAGATAGACAAAGACGAGAGAGCCCAGACTCGACGCATCCTGTCCCCGACAGCCGGGTGCTGAGGTATGCACCCAGCCGGTGTCACCACCCTCCCAGCTTCAACTCGCCACATTTCAGCACACAGCCTCCTCTCGACTGTACGGACTGTGAGTATATATTGTCTTGATATACACGTTAACGTACCTGAAACGCATGTTTCTTCGACGAAATAAAATATCTATTGGGTTCATAGACATAGAAATATAAACTGCACGTCTCCCTGAAACGGGTGTCCCAAGTCGATAAAAAGGTAGATAGCTTTCGGAGAAATTGGCATCTCTTTTTAAATCTAAGTAGTGGGAGTGGATGAGGTTCTGGGGATCTGGATTTTGAGTCGTTGACTGAGTTATATTAGAAAGAGATAGCATGTCCACCGAAAATAACCCATCTCTTTCTAAAGGTGGGACGCCGGACCAGCCTGACGCACAGTCTACATGTATTTCTATATCTTATGATGGGGTTCACCAAAATGTCATATGCGATGCCTGCAGCATCATTATATCCTCAGATCAAAAAGTTGTAAAAAACGACCTTTACTATTTTCTTCGTGTTTTGGAGCAATTGTAACTTTTTCAAATTTTTTTTACACATCATTTAGTAAACTAATGTCTCTAACTTCACACGAGAACTTAAGTCATTTGGACCAATTTTAAAAAAGTTGTTCCGTTTTAAAGGGTGTACGAATACTTTCAACCACTGTAGCATAATTGCTCGAAGGTACACCTTCTCGTCGTTCATTTCCAGAACAAGGTCGATTGAAAAAAATTTAACACCAATCTTAATGATGTTCTTTGTAAAGAACGTGTCGAAGTGTGAACTTTCAAAATGTGTATGTAGTTTATTAATTAGGAGCAGTGTTTTTTTTTTCTTTTACTGAAATCGGAGAACAAAACTGAGCCGTGTATCTACACGAATTATTATATTGACGATACTCGAATAATCGTTATTTGAATGTTTTCGTTTGGTTTTTCGTTGCGAGTAGTTTAGACTTTTGTTGGGGTACTCGGACTATTCATGCATTTTTTGTTGGGAGATACTCGAATATTACGAATTATTAAGTTATTGGAGCAATTCTAACGATATTCGGTTTCTCAGGGTGTCTGAAGATCTCGAATTAATTTTTGTTCGAGTTTACTAGAAGGACTTGATTACTCGATTTTTTTTAAGCGTTTGAAATATTTTTTTTCTCTGAAATAGGAGGACTCGATTCTTTCAAGGCATTTTATACTTAATACTTAAGGTACATTAGAAATACTCAATTTTTCAAAGTACTCGATACTGATACATCCAAAATAAACATTTCACAGTGTACTCGGAAGTATTCAAGTTTTTAAGATACTCCTAAGTATCCAAATCATTCATCTTCTCGAGATAATTGAAGAATGTTTCGGTATTTGTTTATTTTCTTTGTATGTAAAGTATTCTCTTGTTACCTTGCAAAGGAAGTAAAATACTCTACCGAATTCATTAGAACGCTCATTCGTTTCATTTGGCTTGAATTTCAGGGAATTCGAAATGTATCAAGTCTGTTACTTCAACCCTGTTCTGTTACTCATTCCGTATTCCTTTCAATTAGCACGTAGAAACTAGACGGCTAACTAAACCGCAACTTCTGTGGTGTGAAAAAGGAGTCGTTAAGTACTCTCCCTTTTTTGTTTGTTGGTTTTGTGGTACAGTGACTCACAACTTTGTTTGAATAACGCAAATGTGCTCCACTCCTCGTTTAACTTACGTACGGCCTTGTTGGCGAAAAGTAGCATGGAAACTGTTTAAAGTTTACTTTGGTGAACTTAAAAAACACCTATTTTTCTTTAATAAATAAATTTGTATAACTCACATGAGATAGTAAGTGATTTATAAACAAATTCGAAATGTTTTTCAGTGTTCCTTTGTGTTATTAGTCGCATTAAATTGCGTTTAAGGTAAACGTATTATTGATTTATCATTATTATAAATAACGTTATTAAATACAGTTATAAACGAGTATTAATAGTATACCAAATATACTATTTGTAGAATATATATTAAGGTTTATTGTAGTACTTTTTACCATTTAAAATTTACATACGATAAATTGATAATGAATTACTAAATAATACAGTTGCGACATTATAGTCGATCGTAACTGTCGCTGTAATATTCATCTTCAAAAAGGTACATTAAATATCATTACTTTCAAGGGCTACATTGCTTGAAAGAATTAGGGGTTCATGTTTCCGGGTAATTCAGGCGTAACGAACCTAAATTCAGGGGTGAAACAGAACTATACCGTTTATAACATACTGACATAAGTGAACCAATGCATTGGATATCGTAGCCAGCGATAAAATCAAGTACGTAGCTGATAATGTAATTATTTTGACCAGCGTGTATACAAGGTATACGTATTTTCTATCATTCTTACCAATCTCCTCGATTTTGTGACCATATATTATTCTTATATTGAAAAAAAGTCTATTTAATATGTACTGTACATTCGAAAACACAAGATATACGTTTTCCCTTTTTAAATAGACAACACTGATAAACAAAACTGCGGATTTTATGCACCTATTACGTACTCGATTATCTGAAATTCAGTAGAATAAGTTTTAGTGAGGTTTATATTTTATATACGACCTCATAAAATCTCTAGTTCTATCTATTCTACTTCTATCTATTCTACTCAAAAAAATTACCGTTTGTGTTCGCTTTCCAGAAATAAATCTTTGAATATAAATCTCTGAAAATATCATATTCATTCTGCTCTATGTAAAACAAATAAAATAGAAAGGTAGTTTTTAGAGCGCTCCATAAATCAACCACCGAACCTTTAGCCCTAGAATGCCCGAGCCTCGAACTATCACGTAAACGCCCAAGGAGGGGGCTCCTCGAACTCACACTTCTTACATATTTCTCCTAAAAAAAATTATTTTGTGATGAAAATTTTGTAACATTCGAGTATATTATACATCGTAAACAAGACAGCATATGTTTTTCCTTAATATTATTTTTTTTACATGTATTTGTAAAATAGAATGATAGCGTAAAATAGTATACTACCATGGAACTCATCTGAATCTAATTCTTCCATTAGTTCGATTCTTCGTTCTGTGATCGTTTGTTATTCTTTTGAGACGAGAAAGGCGTAATATATCGTGTAATCAGACGTAATAGCATCGACGCGCGATCGCCAGTGTCGCGACGCGTAGTCGGCTTTCTTTTTCTTATGCACAGTGTTTTTCATATACATATAGTAACCAGGACCTTTGAATATCAAACTTAAACATGTATACGACAATAAATAATTTTTTGAAAATTTTTTGCTGAAAGGAAATAGTTTTAATTTTACGTTATTCGACTTGTGGGTTAGCGGAGCCCCCCCCCCGGGAGGCATTCTAGGGTTAATCTATTAACACCACTGTGTTAATAATCCGTAGGCGGCGAGAGTGTCTAAAATGGAAGATCTTTAATTTTACAGAGCAGCGTGAGGCGGCCAAAATGCTGACTGCTCATTCAGAGATGCACGAGAAACGGGGAGATCCCCTTGGAGGCGGACAATATGGGGCGGGCGGGGGTGGTGGCGGCAGTTCGATCGACGAGAAATCTATCCATGAACAACCACCCCCGCCGCTGGCGCCACCTCAGCGGGATCCATCCGATCCAACGATCAGCGCTAAGAAACTTCCAAAGAAACGAAAGTTCGATCCGTCGGAGCTCGAGGAAATGGACAAGACCAGCAATGTAACAAGCAATATAAACAACATGGTGAACATACGGACACCGAGCATGACGCTCGGCAGTCAGTCTGGTTTAGTTCAACAGTCAACCATAACCCGGCAGTCTCCGCAACAGCAAGAATCCGATTGTTATCAAGTACGTGTGTGTTTGTTATCGTTCACACGACTGTATTCGAGTATAGAACGCAGAACTGTATCAGATTTAACCCCTTTCTGCTCGTGTGTGATTCCATTTTGGAAATTATTAACTAACTTACTTAGCGTTTTATACAACTGATACTGTCAGCCTGAAAATACCATGTGTCATAATAAATAATAGGTCGTTGGAAATTAAATGGCCGATTTTACTGATAGATATGTTTGACATTACTTTTACGAATTAAAAATAGTAGCATAGATCCTTTTTTATTGGAAAATTACACAGTTTACGATACTCGTTTCGAAGTACTACGTGACATGGCAATAAAATTAGTTATGTTAAATACTGAAGTTAATTAAATTAAATAATTCATTTCAGGTAATTACAGCCATTAAAAGATGGCTATTTAAGCCAAATTCATAAATAAACTTTATATAGATGTATTTAGGTTTCTGCTAAAAAGCTACTATTTACTAATGCAACATTCTGCGAAAAAGATGGAAGCTAAATGAGTTTTCGAAAAATCAGCCTTAAATTCAGTATAATTATTGTGTAATAAATACAACATGAATGTAACCATTATATTTCAATCAAAAACGTGTATAGAGTATATTTAATCTTGCTTTGTCTAATAAAATATAATATTTACAGTGTTCAATATAATATCAAGTGCCAGTAATAAAACGACCATTTCATGTGCAACAACTTAATAATTAATGGCAGAAAGGGTTAAAAGGTGCAGTTGGTCTGTATATTTACAGTTTACAGCATTATGAATACTACGAAGAAAAGCTAATTACCAATATTATATGAATTCATTTGAAGAAATTTTCAAACATCCGCACATTGTCAATGAATTATTTTCTCTATATAATTCTGTTCATTAATTCTGATCCGTATAGAATTCTTTTTGATTTAATAAGATACTTTGATAACTGTATTTCTAATCAATTTTTTAAAGTAGAAAGTAACATAGTGGTTGTAGGGTAGATGTCCCAATTACTGCCACCTTAAGATTTTAGGGTAACTTTATTTAATCATTTCACGTGTTGTTTAACTTAAAAATCATTTCAATTTGGAGCATAATATTATGTAACATAATCTTGATGAACAAAATAGTTTTATACATTAAATATAAAGAATTAATGAATAATTCTTAATCACCTCAGTAATTAAAGTAATTCTTATATACAGGGTAGGGCAATAACTATTACCATCTTAGATATCTTCGAAATTATAAGATTCACAGAAATATTTGTTGAATCAAAATTGCACAGTACGAAGAGAGCCATCCCATTGCGCTAATAGTTTTTTTTTAAATGGATCGGTATGTTTTTGTTTCCGTAGAATGATAGGGAATCTTAAAACGAGTTCAACGACCTATTACATAAGGTCATTGAAGGTCATAGAAAGTAGAAAAAAGCGATAATTCTTACAGTTTACTTCACTGAAAATAAACACTGTTTAAAGGACACTTTAATAAGTTTGCAGAATAAGATAAACATGATTAAGAGTAGTATCGTATCGGTCAGTAAAGGCAAAAGACTAGGCAAAAGACTAGTATACTGAACGATATCTAAGGACACTTTAATAAGTTTGCAGAATAAGATAAACATGATTAAGAGTAGTATCGTATCGGTCAACCAGGCATGATGTAGGTATCCGTTTGTAGAGCAAGTTGATGTGCTTCTTATTTATGGCGAATGCCAACAAAATTCTGTAAAGGCAAAAGACTAGTATACTGAACGATATACACATCGGTCTCAGCCTTCGCGTGGAACATTAAAAAATGTGTGTGATAAACCTAGGTAAACCAGTAGTTGAAGTATTCGTAAAACTGAACGCTGAAAGCGAGAAACGAACGACGAAAATGAAATCGGTGTGGTCGCAAGTGTGGCTACAAATCCTCATTAGTTGGCGACAAATTGAACTCGAATCTGGTATTACTAGGAGGAGCGTACTTCGAACTTTGCACCGTCACAAATTTCATCCGTACCAGTTAGTCTTCACCAAAAATTACAGGGGAACGACTTCATGAATCGCGTTGAATTTTATCGATGGGGTAAATATCAGATCCAAAACAATGAGTTATTTCGTAATATCGTCTTATTTACTGATGAGGCAACATTCACAAATCACGGGAATATTAATTTGCATAACATGCATTTATGGGCAGCGGAAAATCTACATTGGCTGCGGCAGGTTGAATATCAGAGACAATGATCTGTGAATGTATGGTGCGGTATCAGAGGTAATAAAATTATTGGTTCTCATTTTATCAATGGAAATTTGAATGGCCACATCTACGCTAATTTTATGAAGGATACATTGGGTCCTTAGCTAGAAGAATTGTCTTTATTTACACGACGAACCATGTGGTATCAACATCATGGATGCCCAGCACATTATTCATTGATTGCGCGAAGGGAACTCGATGAAAAATTTCAAAATCTTTGGATTAGACGCGGCGGTTTAATATCGTGGCCAGCTCGTTTACCAGATTTGACATCTCTAGATTTCTTTCTATGGGGAATATTGAAAGATAAAGTGTACAAAGAAGTATCAACTACACCTCAAGACATGCAACAGCGAATTATTGCAGTCTGTGCGTCAATTAAGTTCTGACGTTATAAGACTTGCACGTGAATCAGTTATAAAACGAATCCAATGTTGCATTGATAGTGATGGTCTTCATTTTCAACACCTACTACGATCTTATGTAATAAGTCGTTGAACTCGTTTTAAGATCCTCTATCATTCTACGGAAACGAAAACATACCGATCCATTTAAAAAGAAATGGAGGTGACCTTGAAATATCCAAAGTACATTCACCTGCAAAAAAAACTATTAGCCCCATCGGATGGCTCTCTTCGTACTGTGCAATTTTGATTAAACAAATATTTCTGTGAACCTAACAGTTTCGAAGATATCTGAAGGGGTAATATATACAGTAAATAGTAAAACTGCGGTTCTTTCCTCAGTATGATTTCGCCATCACTTCCCTACTTGTATGGTTGCGTTTTTATCGCTTAAATTGCACTTTCATTTTTTAACATTAATTGTTAACTACCAGGTACATTTCTTTCTTTTTTGTATGTAAATCAGAGAGTCCGAATTTAACAATACAATTTTTTCTACACAATTCTTTAAACGGTTACGTGTTTATTAGGTATCATAAATATAGTGACAGTATTAGGGACACTGGCAGTAATAGTGATATTTAACCTAGCAGAAAAAGACTCGAGTGTATGATGGTTGAAAAGAACTGCACGCAAATGATATTCTGTCTTTGAAAATAACATTGTCGAAGGATGCTAAAGTCTATGTTATACGTAACGAGGAATGTATTAATTTACCTAAATTAAACGGCAATGATGTATATTTGTCAGGTATCTTCAGCACATTCGGTGGTAGTTCTACCGCCTCAAAGTACAGCAGTGGATTATTCTCTTCGGGAAGAACCTTTACGTTCGCGTCCTCGGCCTGCTACCGTTGCTATTGATCTCAGTGAGTGGTGCGATCACAGAGTGTTAGCTTTAAGGGATTCGTATTATTATCCGGGTGTTATTCGTGACGTTGTTCAAGGCGAGATTTTCATAGAATTCGACGGGGAACGAAAGCTAGTGCGTTACACTGACGTTTTGGGCGCGGGGAGGTACGATGTGATAGGCGATGCAAGCCCGTCCGTGGGGCACGTGACTTTAGATGCGAAAGTTTGCATCAGGTGTCCAACGTCGAGCAATCACATCGATGCGACTAAAGTGTTTGTGAAGGGGACAGTGTGCAAGATATTAACGAAGCCTAAGCGTTTTGTTGTGAAAATACCAAGGGAGGACGATCAGAGTGACAGTTACGTTGTGAAACGTGCGGACCTTCGATTAGTACAGCCCCCGTGGTGGGACGAATTGGAGGAAGGATTGGAAGACTGTGATTCTTCGAGAGTCGATGGAATTGGTATGTCATCCCCTTGCACAGCACAATGTATAATTGACACATGCTTTTTATCGGCCACATACCCAGTTTTATTGACTCGAATGTATCGCGTCTTTTTGATCCAGAACATGGCTATCGAAATTCTTCGGAAGCTCCAGCGGCAGTGCCAATTTTGCTCCATCACTCTTCTCACCATACATCTCATATATCAACTCATAGTGACACAGGTGGTTATTACAGAACAACTGGTACTAGTCCTCTCATGACTTTAGGCACTTCTGCGCATTCTGCCAACACAGCGTTAAGCAATGGAAACCGACCGTACGATGATTTAGAAAGTGAAGATGACTTAGACAGGGAAGATATTACATTCCCTTCAGACGCAGGTTAGATGAAACTCTACTCTCTGTATACACTTGAAACATACAACCGAGATATTGTACTAGTATGCGATTCAAATGGTTTTCAGTTTCGTTTAACTTTTTAACGGTAGTTTAGCGTAACAATGTTTGCATACCGTTTTTCTAAAGTATCTAGTTGTTATCCGAGCACACACTAGTAAGTACAATAGTATAGTAATTCAAATATATTCAACTGACAGATGCAAAATTGTCAGGGAGCAGTAAACGGAGTAGCATGCAAAGCCGGGGAAGTACCAGTAGTCTAGTGGAACAGCGCAGTATAACTCCTCGTTCTCAAGCAGCCACGCCCAGGTAAAAAGTCTGAAAAATTGACGAAAGATAAATCTCTCATTGTTAATGGCCGAAACACTATAGATTTCTTGTCGAATGTTAAATAGATCTCAGGCGGCAACGCCACATAGATATAAAAAAGGTGATGTAGTGGCTACACCAAGCGGAGTTAGGAAAAAATTCAACGGTAAACAATGGCGTCGACTCTGTAGCAAAGAAGGGTGTTCCAAAGAAAGCCAACGAAGAGGATATTGTTCTCGTCATCTTAGCTTGAAAGGATCTGGTCTTAGAGGACCGACAAATACATTTCCGGGGTAATGAAATTTCCAAGTGACGTTTAGAAGTTATTCATACATGTTTTGTCTGTTACACTGAATTAATATTTCACAGTGGTAAAATAGATGGCGAAGAGACATCAAGAGACTCTGATACTTCTCCAAATTACGGGGATAGAAGAATTGCTGGTCGATTTGATCAGGATGAAACTGAAGCTGCTAACATGCTCGGTGAGTCTTCTATTTTCGGTCGTGTTTGCAAGACATTCACCTTTAAGAATGTCACAATCACCGTATGTTATATATTTCCTTTTGTTGTGTAGTGTCTTTAGGAAGTTCTAGATCGGCAACGCCAGCCTTTTCATCGCCGACGGGACAGTCTTCGATATCCCCGTGTATCAATCAGTCGCCGGTACCACCACTGGGACTGAACCAGAACAATATGTTTATGCCCATTTCAAGTCCTGCTCATCATGCAACTCCATTAACGTCGCCTGGTGCGAAATGGAAACATTCACCTACTCAGTCCACGTTTCTTAATCAGTATCAACAGCAGGTGATAAAGCCTGAACCTAATCGAGTGGTTAGATCAAATCGACCAGCTCCAACGGCCCCTGTCCCAGCTAGTATAGGAACAAGCGTGATAAGAATCTCTCCCGTGAGTCGTGGTATACCCGGACCGCCTAATTTGACATTGGCATGGTCGGAACAAAGCACGCCGCCGCGACATCCCTCGGTTGTGACGACCATAGCTCAACAACAACAAGGCATAATTCTTCAGCACGCGCTCACCACAAACAACGGTTTCCCCGGTCATTCGGAAATCCCGGAACAAAGTCCACAGATACTGAAGCCATCTCATTCCCCTCATATGACTGCACTGTCCGCGCCGACACCTCAGAACTTAACTCTTCTGCATAAACCGTTGGAACAGCCTGTTGATTATGCACAACCGCAAACTCAAAGCCAGCCAATTTACGTGATGCAGCATCAACACGAAAAAAAGTATCTTGTAATAAAGAACAGCATGGATGTGTCCGCAGCAGGCCACATAACGAACCAGGATGACAAATACAGGCCAGGATTAATGAATCAGTTAGGTCAGCTTCCACCATCGTTGCATCAAACGCAATGTCAACCTCCACTGTCGCCTGCTGTTTCATCCGTCCATATCGATAAATTGTCGGTGTTACAAGTAAGCAATTTTAAAATATTCCCTAAGCTCTGACAGATTTACAGTGTGTACCACGTTGAAAACTGTACTCTAGTTTACACAACGACACATCGTTTTTATTAGGCAAGTAAAGTAGCCACCCATGCGCCCACGCATATGGACATGCAGAGAACTCAACCACCGCCTACAAGCGTAGTGATGACAACCACGACAGAAGTATCGAATCCATCTACCCCCACAAGTGTCTTCCAGCACGTAATTGTTCAACCGGGAAATTTAATACAGATTCCAAAAACTCAACCGACCAGAGAAGAAAACTCAAAAAACAACGGAGTCTTGTGTAAGTTTGAAACATACGTATACTTTATTGTCCAAAGTACCGTACAAGCCATATTTTTGTTGTTGCATTTATTATTCCATCCTTTTATTTGTGTATCTAAACTACGTTTTGTTTTAATCTGTACATTATAACTTGTATGAAATATTTTTACAAAATCGTAATTATTTTATGACATCCATAATATATTTTACGGTTTCGTTCAACAAATATACGTTTCCGTTAACTATATTAGTGAATTCGACTAAACAGTAAGGCTTTCACAGATGGCAGCCATGAAGTCCCTCCTGTATACCAGCCCCATCCCCCATCATTACTGAACAATGCAGGGCGCAACTGGAAAAAAGGTTTGAGTTCTCACTGTCAAACGAACTGTATGACTGTTTTCATCTTTGTTGTAAATTATATTACCAATGGTAATAATACATATAAATGCATACAATATGCTTTACAATTGTCATGTAACGTACATTATAACTGTAATAAGTATAGATTATAGTATATTTCATATTACAGAAATACAACATTAATATTTCATACTATTTTTTTCATTGTTATAAAAGGACAAGTACTTTATTGTCTTCATAGAGTATATTCAATGTATCAATATTTATGCTGTCAGTCATATATTCTTTCCATCTTAATTGCATATTTTGCGTAATATAATGAAAACCAATAAATATGGAATAATGATCACACAATGCATCTAATAAATAAACTTACATATAGATATAGTTGTATTTTACATTTGAATATAATCATTTGATCAGTGCACTTTAAACGACAAATCTATCAAACGTGTAAATTGTACCATTACCTATTTTACAACAAATACAACAGACCAGTTTTTTGCTCATATTCGAACTGTGTCTTACATGTCATCTTACTCTGACTCAAATGCACTGTCACGTTTAATGTTACTTTAATGTTGGGAAGAGGTCATTTCATTGATGTTCACTGTAATTTTACGATTTATTAGTGAAAGAACAATTTCGATTAGATTCTAAACTATACGAAAAAAAAGTAACGTTAAATTAAGACGAACTTGTTGTTTTAAAAGCAGTAATATAATATGAAATACATAGCCAATTTGACTCGTAAAACAGTTCCTCTTACACGCATTAACATAATTTCATATGCATATGTAAACAGGGTGTTTCATTTAATTTGACAAATCGAAATATCTCGAGAAATACGCATCGTACGAAAAAAATATTTCATATAAATTCTTAATATTTTCAAAGGGGCCATCCACCTGTGATAAATTTTTGCCGCCTGGGGGTAGGGCGGGGGCAACTTTGGAATCTTACATGGAAACCTCCATTTTTTATTGCAGATTTAGATTCTACGGAAAAAGATCAGATTCTCAGCATCAGGGTGCTCGATTAACTACTTTATTAACTACTATTAGCGCTATCCAGGAACGACGACGTGGACGTAGTAGTTTTTTGTTCCCTTCGGGGTGCTTTTGTCAGTGATGCTGAGAGAACATTCTGAAAACAAGTTTCGCCTCGCTAATATTTTATGAAATGAAACACCCGGTATAGCAACGAGCTATAAATTATAATAATATTATTCTACCAGCTCCTATTCCTACATCATTACTAACCACAACCATCGCGATTAACGCAAAGAATTTCATTGCAGCTTTTTCCTGGCAGACGACAGTATTGGATCAATCAGAAGTGAGTCCTCCACCATCTGCCCTAAGTCCACCTTTGAGTGCACCTCCAATTCCAATAAGTATGAGCACACCTGGTGAAGAGGTGCCTGGTCCAGGACCAGATCCCATTACCCCAGCTGAAGAGGAAGATGATGATGTCTTTGAAGCGGAACCAACAACGCCCGCCGAAGTGGAGGCTAATGTCAATAAGAGACGTAGTCAGTCCCTTAGTGCGTTGCATTCCAAAGAGCCACAGAGTCCACTTAAAGTAAGTTCAAATTATTTGAAAGATGGATTAAAAAATAATTAGAAACTTCTGTTTACTTAGAAACGTATGGTAATGTATTTCATCGATGGCTGTATTAACTTCTTTTACGTTCAACGTATGTTACTTAAAGCGCATCAGACAGTAAAGTTAATATTAAACCATTTATTTTCTAACGGATTTCCATTTTCAGACTAAGGATCGAATACGCCGACCGATGAACGCATTTATGATTTTCTCAAAACGTCACCGTGCAGTGGTGCACCAGCGGCATCCGAATCAAGATAATCGTACCGTGTCGAAAATATTAGGAGAGTGGTGGTACGCATTAGGCCCAGAAGAAAAACAGAAATATCATAATCTTGCATCGGAGGTGAAAGAAGCGCATTTCAAAGCACATCCGGATTGGAAGTGGTGCAGCAAAGACAGGCGGAAAACATCAACGACCAGTTTTAAAGGCATTGAATCTCGAGGGAAATTAAATAGTACCGGTGAAGATGTAGACATGGGACCACCTGATGACGTAACAATAACACCAAGGACTACCGACGAAATTACTATTCCTGTCACGACAGTCTATAACGACGTCGCCACGATTGAGGTAACATTAATTTAGATGGATATCCAAGTGACTACTTCAGTTAAAATTCGTTGTATTAAAAAAAATGTGTTATTTAGGTTATTAATCCGTCGCACGCGCATCGAATAATGGAAGTGCCTGTGCAAGTTGAAAATACCGAATCTGACATAAAGCAGGAAGAAGACGGCAATGCATCAGACGAAGATCAAATGGTGATTTGCGAGGATCCACAGCCCGAAATAGATTTGAAATGCAAAGATAAATTAACAGATAGCGATAATGATGTGCAAGATGACGACGGCGAGAAGAAATGTTATACGCAATCGCGGTTCTCGCCTGTCAGTGGTCAGAAGATAGAGGCATTGAGTGTGAAGCAAGAAGTTACCTGTAGGCCTAAACCAATAAAAGGTTCGTTTTATTATTTGATTGTTATTATTATGCAATTTATTGAAAATATGATTGTTTAGCGACGTAGTATTGTATCAGGTAAAGTCAATTTCTCCGTTTGTTTAGCACGAATACCTTCAACAGGTATAGAGACTACAACAAAGTATCATCACGCCTCTATGGATAAAGGCGGAACGGTGTCTGTTTTGTCGAGTACGTATCCTTATCATAGCCCTGTCAATCCGACTGGAGTGTCCGGTTTTCAACCGACTGGCGGTGCGTTCATAACAATGCCAATATCTCCAAAAGTTATTAAACCGGAACCAGTAAAAAGTGAACAGCAGTACAGTACTCAGTACAGCATGAGCAATCTGGTGGCTAGCATTCACGAAAATGGCAGGAACATGCCTAAATTTACAGCTGCTCCAGTACATTCTGCTTCACAAATACATTCTGTAAGTGTTTTTTTTTTTTTTCAAACAATCGAACATGTTTCATAGTAATATACATACCTAAAGTGATTCGGACGAGTTACAATCGCATACGTAGTAATGTCTGAATTTTCCTAAAATCCTTTTTTAAACGTTCCTTTTTATTCAGGCATGTGTGAATATTTAAAAATTTCATACTGATTCTTTTACAATTACATAGATATTACTTGATTAAGTGTTGACAATGTGTAAACTTATTTCAAAATACAATATAATTATTAAAAATTAGGGTAATGTTTAAAGGTATGAATAGTTACTATAATATTGATTAATATAATGAAAGGGCTATTCGCACGTGCCTACTTACCTAACTGCCACATTATTTGGGTATCTCTTCGTTTTTTTTTTTTTTTTTTATTTTTAAACTGAATTGAGGGAGCAATGGACTCTATATTTGTCTAAAGGATTATACGTAGTAAACACATGCGAATAAACTCAGATATTAAGTTTCAAATTTAATACAACTGACAGTTTGGTTGAAAATCCATGATGGCTCTGTTCAAACAACAGCAGCCGTTGCAGTCCTTAGGCACTATTCTTCGCCCCCTTACTTCAGCTGTCCCTTATCAACAATCGGTCACTCTAACATTGCTCGATAACGATTTGGTGGCTGTTTCCAAACCGCAGCAGGGATCGCAGTACCTTGATCCAGCACCACCGCATCCAAGGATGTACTGTGGCTTTCAAATCCCTATCTCTGGTAAGATTATGCAATAAGCAATAATTTTTTTTTATAATAACAATAACAATAATAGTAATCGTACGTAATGCCTTTCTACTTATTTTTTACCTTTGCATTTAAATTTCTACCTAATTTTATTTTATGCATTCTGTATCAAAATCCAATTTTATATAATTTGAAGTGATATATATTATATATCATCTTTATTTTTGTTTTATCCACATGGTACAGTATTCCGCAATTCATAAACAGTAAATGTATATTGTTTATTACAGATGCTGGTAACCGCAACATATCTTCACAAGGTTTAGTTTCCGGTAATAAGATGGAAACCCACAGTGTTATTGTGAGTAAACCTTACTCAGTTTCAACGACTTCCACTACGTCGACCTACCGAGGAATTGGTCATCCAGTAGCACGCCTTGCGGAATCCGAGAAGAACGAGAACCAAGTAGGAAATAATCATGCTCAGTTTTATGGTAAGTCACAATAACTCCCTAAATTAAAAACTTAATTTTTGAAACAATTATTTCGTTTGTTTTTTGTTTTTCAATCATAGGTTGGTAACAAAATGTTTTTGTTTCAGTGACGAACATCAAATCTGAATCAGACAGGAAAGACGCGATCAACATTCTTTTACCTGCTACAAACGATAAACATAAACAGCCTCCTACTCCACATACTCCTCACACACCTATTAGCAACCATGGTAGTACAGACATGTCTGCAAATAAATCATATTCCATAGATGAAGCCCAAAATAATGATATAGGTCCAAGTAAAGGGCCCTTCATGCTTGCCCCAACGCCAGCACAACTTGGTCGAGCACCGTTGCAAAGGAGACAATCAATGGGTATGGTCTTACAATACTATTTTCTTAACAAAGAGTTCGTATAAAAATTAAAGATATGTTTGTAACTGATTGAGTTAAATTTATAGCAATGCCTCCCACATCGAATGCAGGAGACCATGGGCCTTTGACGTCTCAGCATTGCGACAATCGTCCACAAATGAATGCCTCGCAAACCGTAGAACAGATGCAGCAGCAACAACAACAACAAAATTTTCCAGAATCTCATGCTTCACCGTCACCTTCCACCAAAAAGGGATCTTTCTTCAAGAAGAATGTCGAAGATGGAATGGACAGGTATCGATAGATTGTTTTAGATTCATAACAATTTTCACTACAACAGTATATCTAATGTTAAACAACAATTTCAGAGTTCTCGAGCAAGTTAATTTCCAGGAAAAGTTCTCGTCCTTACCGGAATTCAAACCGGAAGACATACAAAGTCCAAGTGCAATCAGTATCAGTACACCAAGTTCATCTGCTCATGGTTCCGTAGTAACGTCTGGCTTACACTCGTCGAATTTACAATCGTCCATGCAAATGCAGAGTTATCGGAAAAAATCCATGCAAGGACCTCATAGGCCTACAAGTAATTATTTCAGTAATTTTGGAACAAAGTATTTTTAATACTTTTGTACTCATTCTCATGCAAAATATATTTGTCCGGTTTGAACAGTGAATGAGGATGACATCGAATCAGATACATCAGTGTCCGCCACTCCAAAATCAACTTCCAGTGTCAAGTTAACAGGAAACACGTTCTTTGGTCCAGATTTCAACGTTGACGCGTATAGAGCTAACAGCGATCTCGGAGGAGACGTTGACGCGAATTCACCTAGAACACCAAAGACACCTGGAGGAGGTGCTGGAAATTCGGTCGGAATTGGTAGAAGTGAAAACGAGCGTGGTCATAGAAAAGTATTGGAGCAACGTCGGCTTCTTGTGATGCAATTATTTCAAGAGAATGGTTACTTCCCGTCAACGCAGGCCACCACGGCTTTTCAAACGAAACACGCGGATATATTTCCTAATAAGACAAGCTTGCAATTAAAGATAAGAGAAGTCAGACAAAAATTAAAAGCTAACTCAACACCAATGAGTGCTAACAGTCTGGTTAGTCCATTACCTGTTTCTGAGCCTTCACCTAACGTGACTGGTAACTATATATGTATACGCAAACCTTCCATTTAGTAACATTTAATCCTTATATAACCATTTAACGAAGAATGTTTTTCTTAGGACCATTGACTGCTCCTCCTACATCGATGGGAGCTCCACATTCACTGCCTGTAAGCAGTAGTGGTAGCTAGCACCCACGTGCCAACTGTGATACTATGCATCCCCTTACTCCACAGCACGAGTACATCATTATCCACTGAAAAAGGAAAGTTTTTGTTGGGAGAATTGTTGATGTACAAGTTTTCGCGAGTTGTAAAGTGCTGCAAGGCTTTAGTGCAATTCGAACTTTGATGTAACCTGGTGCAGGTAACTTAATAGACAGGCATATCAAGGTGAGTTGATGTACACATATCAGTAGAATTTTCAATATTGTATATAGAAAATGGAGTTGGAGAAAGTAATCGAGTGTATCTCAACATCACAGATGTTGAACTCAATGCCATGTGTTCCGAGTATCTGTGTTCTCGCGGATTAATGAATTATGTAAAAATTGTGAAATGTTCGCGAGGTAAAGAATTTAAATGTATTTTAGCAACGATTACGCTCATTAGTGAATTAGATGCTCAAACTTGCAGGTTTAACCGTATTATATTGTCTGATAACAGAGTGAAAATGAAAAACGAGACGAATGACTATAATTGCATAACTGTTTCGAGATAAAAAGAAAGAGCTTTCTTCTCGTCGAAGAAAAGACAATACTGTTCTGCATTCTAAATCCAAAGATGATTTATGAAAGGGTAATTGATAGAAATGTGAAAATTATTTTACTACATTATGAAGTCACAATTCATAGTTACTTGTATAATTCCAAAAGAAATGCGTGACAGATATTTGTACATCGAAACACCTTGGCGGGATTATGGAAGGCCTAAGCCGTTGTTGAACATTGTTAAAAATGTTATTGAGATCCAGGTAGAAAACAAAGGAAGAGATAGAGAGAGAGAGAGAAAGTGTGTATGATATAGGACAATGAAATTGCGCGCGCGTGTATACGATTTGTATGGGTGTGTGCTGAGAGAAAGAGGGACAGAAAATCGTAATTAGAGAGTATTAAAATTAATGGATCATTATAAAATGAAATCAGAGTTTATATACTTTAGTTATAATATATATATATATATATATATATTTGTATATATATACTATGGCATGTCTTGTAATGGGAGATACCTGGAGAGTTTAAAGTGTCTATGATGCTGTGTCTGAAGATTTTAAAGATGAAAGCATTCTTTTGGTGATTTATAGGTTATAAAGAGATAAAACAGTGGAGATAAAGAAATCGTGCCATTGTGCGGCGACAAACAGAAGAGGGATTGCATGCGTAAATAAGTCCCATGAATAGTAAAGAATTAATTGTTAGACAGCACTTGATATAGGTAATATCTAATATGTTTCCAATATTCTCGAAAGTACTTATCTACTGTTTTTAGAGCCCCGCTCAAGTTCAACGCGTTCGTTTCACGTTTTATACAATATTTTAAAATTGGTCTGCATGCCTTATTATTTTTCGTTTTTTTTTTCTTTGTGGCCAATTTAGATGTAAGCTGTTTTATACAGGCCGTATTTTTTTTTTATTTATTTTTTTGGCCGTGACAAATTTGTTTGCTTTTATCTGTTGCTTCGTCGTCTGATGCGTGCGATTTAATGTAGATAAAATATATCAAGCTAAATAGATTTATACACACCGAGCATCGAGGTAGGAAAAAAGTGGAGAATATTTAATGTTAAATTTATCGAATACGTTGTTGCGATTCGAATTTTGTTACTGTGCTTTTAATGGAATTTATTGTTCCTTAGATTCATTATCACCATCATCACTTACAATCATTTGGTAGTGTCGGATTCTGATGAGAATGGACTTAAAAGAGATACAGATATCAGTGGTCAAAATTATTGGCCACACCTTTTGTGAATTAAGTGACTTATAATAAGTGTCTGAAGACTGTCATCTTCACTCTCGTGTCCATTCCTGATAGAACCCAACAGTACTTACAATTAGATCCGTAAGCTTAAGGTATTTAAGAGCTAGCGCGGTCGCCATAGCTCCCAGGTCTCTAAGATTCTTAGTTTTATGAAATATCTTAGCGATGGTTCTTCCTTCTAGGCGACCTTACATTTTATATTCATCCTGAGATTGCCAGAGCTTAAGTTCATGCACCTCGAGAAGTCCCAAGCTTACTTTGTTCACTAACTTCAGTTACCGTAACATTATTTAAATTCCACTTAACTAATTGCAGTTATTTTATGGTTAAAAAAATGATTCCCATACACTATATGAAATGATCATCATTAAACACAGGAGAACAGTAGTTTGACACCAACTTTGAATATTGTTTATTAAAGTCACCATGAACTGGGCGTCTGCCGTTGGTATTAGTACGAGTACCAGTCGCACAGGTCTTATTTTTTATCATAGTTGAGGTTAGATTATTAAGAATACATCGTATTATATATTCTCGTATAGAACTGAGAAGCAATGTTTTATTCGTACGATAACATCTTTTTTACAGTTAAAGTACCATGTTTTCATGGTCCTCTATCTTAGACTATGGGAAAATATCGAAGTATATTTGTAATGTTAGTAATCAACGATTTGATCGTGTCGTTGTCCTCGGTGTACTTTCCAAAGACACTATCATTGGACAGAATATTATCATACCTCGGATAACGACTCGATCATTATTATTTTTTTTTTGTTATATAAATACAAAGTATTCTTGGAGATTCTCCACCGTCTCTCTGGCAGGTGCTCCATCTTAATGGACGACCACAGTCCCGGTATACAGGCTGTTTTAAAGAAAAAAGGTGACTAAAAACGAGTGAATCTGTAGTACTTACTAAACTAAGTGAAAAGAGTACTTAGTCATCATTGATCCTTTCACGCTGAACAGCGATTTTTTTTTGTATATCACTAATGTATCTTATCCATCCGCGTTCGCTTAAATTATTTTGTCATTTTATTGTTTTTATCTCGTACAATTCTCGTTTCAGTATATTGTATTCTTATTGTGTTTTGTTTTTATTATCCTACCGGAAAGTCGCTGCTTACTCGAAGATGGTTCACTGCGAACATTTATTAGCTTCCCTTTTTCTTTTTATTCGTTTTCCTAAGTTATCTTTAAGCGTACATGTTCGAATCGTCCGAACGTTCTGTATACCGTGTAATGGGACTGTCGTTTCGATGAACCTGCCCTCGTCACAGCTCTCTGAAACGGTTCGCCCTTAAAAATATATCGCCCCTCATGTCGCTCTCTAACGATCATCCCCTTCTCTCCCTTTTTTTTTGTTACACACCTCGGGCTCGGTGGCATTGGAGACGGTTTCAGGCGGCCGTGTCACACAACCGTTCTCTGTCGGCTCCTTGAAACATCTTCGCCTTCCTCGTCCCCTCCCCCACATGCGATTCGTTTTAACTCGTTTTATCAAGGAAATAATCGCCTTTTTTTTATGTTACAGAAAAAATAAAATAATGTTCGAACACGATCCATCGGTAAACGCGTTGAATTTCAGCGGGGATTGTTGAATTTGGCTGTAAATTAGATAATGTAAATTAGTGATATGTTTATACATACATAATATGTGTATATATATATATATACACACATATATACACTCACACACACACACACATGTACACATACACGTACGAAAGAGCAGAAAAAAAGTAATAAAAAGCGCACCTTAAAGGGTTTAAAAGTCTCGCGCCACGGCACGCATTATTGTAGTTAGGATAGGAACAATGTCTATTCTACAAGGATTTTGTAAATAGAAGAAAAACAAAAATATATATACGGATACACTAACTTGAGTACGTATTATGAAGTAAAGAAAAAATAGGGTACATCCGACAAATGGTAGAGACACCGTAGGCGTGTATGTAATTCGTAGTTGTTTACGATCGATCGATCGATCGAGATTCGCCGCAGGCAGGATTACCTACTACTCCCCCGCGTAAAAAGATCGATCCAGTTTTTGGCGGGGCCTTAGTGGATTCTTGCGGGCACACGGGACGGTCCCCTCTACCCTCCTCCAAAGTTTAACCCCCTTTCCTACAATGCTAGGATACTATTATTTGTACATAACATATAATTACATTATTCTCTCTCTTACCATTTCTCGATTTATTGTTTTCTTTTCTTTTATTTTTTTTTTTTCGGTCTTCTATTACGGAGGGCATTAAAACCACCCCCGGTGGCAAAGCAAATTAACTTGAGGGAAAAGAGACACTTGAAATCTGCGTTGATCTACTCCTGCCTACGTGACGCCATCGGAGATGAATCACCTCCATTCTCCTTCCCTCTCACTCCCCAACATATATTTATTCTGTAAAAAGGAGAAGAACAAGAAATATAATTTAACTGTCGCATTCGCACGTTCATCGATCAAGCTTATTAAAAAAAAAAAATACCTGTTTTAAACGTTCTCTATCTTCTCGTTCCTACTAGCAGGGTCGGTAGTGCTCCGTCTCCCATGTTTTACTGTGAGAATAGTTCGAATTTCGCGCAGTTCGGAACGCTTCCTTACAACGAATCGTTTTAAATTCAGTTTTGTAGATTACGCATCGAATTTTCGGTCACCTTGTTTCAAAAGTATTATTCAGCACTCTTTTTTTTTGTCTTGTATAAATGTATTATTTTACCATGGTGAATATTTTTAGAGATAACGCGTGTAACCTTTATTTTAGAATTTCCGCAATATCAGTTTTACGTTTAGATTGTGTAATTTAATTTCGCTGTACACGATCAATATGGGGGGAACGGTGTAATACGTTCGTAAATGAGGATGATTTTTTTGAAATGGAATTAAACGGTGTTACGGAGGTTCGATAACCTTTTAATCGTATTTTTTTGTTGTTGATTTTTCGATATCTGCACATAAAAGAGAGATCTTAACAGGGATCGAGTGTCTCTCTCTCATTTGCCTCCCGCCGCTCCCCCGTCAAAGAATTTAACCGGATATAATATTATATTTTATACTTGTGTAAACTAGCGAACTATTTTCCAGTATTGATAAGATTTCGATCCATAATTTTCGTACTTTCTTCCTCCTTTCCTTTCCTCGTCTTCTCTATTCGCTTCCTTTTCATTCAATCGCCGAAGGATGATCCCCCCCGAGAAAACGAAAATGGTGATGAAACATGTTCCGTGATTTAGCAGCCGTACATGTGACTGTGATCTAGGAAAACAGAAGTAAAGTAAAGTGGCGGCTACACCACTGGCATTTTCTTCACCGGCGTGTAATAATCCTCTTTCCCATCCCCATGCAACCCATCATTTCTCTGTGTATAAAGAAGTACCAGCTCACTTCTCCTCCTTACCGCACCCAAAAACGTTT